CCACGATCAGGCGCAGCGGCGGATTGAAGACCTGCACGAAGAGCTGCTCGGCCTCGCCCAGACGGCCCGAGCGGCCGTCGCGCAGCGCGGCGCGGGCCGCCGCCAGGCTGGCCGGCGCGAGCGGCAGGTCGCCTTCGACCGCGGCGCCGTCGAGCAGGGCCTGGCGCCCGTCGCCGATGTCGGTGACCAGGGCCACCGGCCGCTTGGCGTCGCGCGCCTCCAGCAGACGGTCGAGCAGGGCGCGGCGCATGACTACTCCAGGGCCTCGACGAAGACCTGGACCGTGCCACCGCAGGCCAGGCCGACTTCCCAGGCGTTCTCGTCGCTGACGCCGAACTCCAGCAGGCGCGGCTGGCCGCCGTCGGCGCCTTCCATGATCTCCAGCGCCTCGGTCACCACGGCGCCCTCGATGCAGCCGCCGGAGACCGAGCCCAGCATGTTGCCCTCCTCGTCGACGGCGAGCTGGCTGCCGACCGGCCGCGGCGAGGAGCCCCAGGTGGCGACCACCGTGGCCAACGCCGCCTTGCGGCCGGCGTCGCGCCACGCGGCGGCTTGGCGCAGCACGCTGTCGGTTGTGGGGTAGGTGACGGCTGTCTCGCTCATGCGGCCTGCTCCGCCCAGTGGCCCACGCCTTCGTAGCGTCGCTTCGGCTCCCGTCCGAGCACGCCGGCGAGCTGTTCCAGCGACTCGAGGTTGTGCACCGAGCGGACGTCGTCGACGTGGGGCATGATCGCCTTTGCCCCCATGGTTTTGGGCTCGTAGGCCTCGTAGCGCAAGAGGGGGTTGAGCCAGATCAGCCGGCGGCAGGACTTGTGCAGCCGCTCCATCTCCGCGTCCAGGCCCTGGGCGCCCTCGCGGTCCAGCCCGTCGGTGATCAGCAGCACCACGGCGCCCTGGCCGAGCACACGGCGCGACCAGACGCGGTTGAACTCGGCCAGGCAGGCGCCGATGCGCGTGCCGCCGGCCCAGTCGTCGACCACCTCGCCGCAGGCCTGCAGTGCCGCGTCGACGTCGGCGTTGCGCAGGTAGCGGGTGATGTTGGACAGCCGCGTGCCGAACACGAGGGAGTGCACCCGGTCGCGGTCGTTGGTCACGGCGTGCATGAAGTGCAGCGCCATGCGCGAGTAGCGGCTCATCGAGCCGGAGATGTCGCAGAGGATGACCAGCGGCGGATGGCGCCGGCGACGCTGCTTGAACTTCAGCGGGATGGTGTCGCTGCCCTGGCGCAGGGCGGCGCGCAGGCTGGCGCGCAGGTCGGCCCGGCCGCTGCCCGAGGTCGGGCGATAGCGGCGGGTCTTCACCTCCATGATCGGCAGGCGCATGCTGCGGATCGCCTCGCGGGCGCGGGCGACCTCCTCAGCCGTCATCTTCTCGAAGTCCTGGTGGCGCAGCACCTCCTTGTCGGAGTAGGTCAGCGCCGCGTCGATCTCGACCTCTTCCTCGTCCTCATCGCTCTCGCTCTGGCCCGGCATCTCGGCGCGCAGGGCCTCGGCGACGCGGCGCGACAGCTCCTGGCCCTCGGGCTCCTCGCCGTCCAGGGCGATGTCGGGCAGGAACAGGCTGCGCAGGCGCTCGAGGAACTTCGGGTTGCGCCAGAAGACGTGGAAGGCCTGGTCGAAGACCTCCTGCTGGTCGCGGCGGTTCACGAAGATGCTGTGCAGCGTCCAGTAGAAGTCGTCGCGCCGCGCCACGCCGACCGTCTCCACCGCCTCCAGCGCTGCGAGGGTCTTGCCCGGCCCGACCGGCAGGCCGGCGGCGCGCAGGGTGCGCGCGAAATACATGATGTTCTCGGCCAGGCGCCCGCCGGGCAGCGCCGCCAGGTCGCCGGCCTCGAGCCCGGCGACCCTGCCCTGCGCCTCGAGCTGGCGCTTGGCGTCGGCGAAGGGGTCGGCCTGGCGCGCCATGGCGCGGTCAGGCGCCCGGCAGGCCGGCCTGGTCGCGCTTGACCTCTTCCAGAAGCCGGGCGGCCTGGCTGCCTTCGATCTTGGCGATGTCGTCCTGGTACTTCAGCAGCACGCCCAGGGTGTCGTCGATCGCCTGCGGGTCGAGCGCCACCTTGTCGAGCTGGGTCAGCGCCTCGGCCCAGTCGATCGTCTCCGCGATGCCGGGCAGCTTGAAAAGGTCCAGGTCGCGCAGCCGCTGCACGAAGCCGACGATCTCGCGGCTCAGCCGCTCCGGAGCGTGCGGCGCCTTGACGCGCAGGATCTCCAGTTCCCGCTCGGCCGTGGGGTAGGGCACCCAGTGGTAGAGGCAGCGCCGCTTCAGCGCGTCGTGGATCTCGCGCGTGCGGTTGGAGGTGATGACCACGATCGGCGGCTGCGGCGCCTTGATGGTGCCGAGCTCGGGAATGGTGATCTGGAAGTCGCTCAGCACCTCCAGCAGGAAGGCCTCGAAGGGCTCGTCGGTGCGGTCCAGCTCGTCGATCAGCAGCACCGGCGGGCCGTTGACGTTGGGCTGGATCGCCTTGAGCAGCGGCCGCTCGATCAGGAAGCGCTCGGAGAAGATGGTCGACTCCAGCGACTCCCGGTCCAGGCTCTCGGCCGCCTCGGCCAGGCGGATCTCCACCATTTGGCGCGGGTAGTCCCACTCGTAGACCGCCGAGGCCACGTCCAGCCCCTCGTAGCACTGCAGGCGCACCAGATCGCGGCCCAGGGTCTCGGCCAGAACCTTGGCGATTTCGGTCTTGCCGACGCCGGCCTCGCCCTCCAGGAACAGCGGCCGGCCCAGCTTCAGCGCCAGGAACAGCACGGTCGCCAGACTGCGGTCGGCCACGTAGCTGCCATGCTGGAGCAGCTCGACCACTCCGTCGACGTCGCTCGGCAGGGCGGCGGAGGCGGTGGCTTCGGCCGGGACGTCGGCCGGGCCTTCGGCGGTGGCTTCGGCGGGGTGGGCGTCGCTCACGTCTCGTCCGTTCGTCGCTGTGTCCGGTGGTCGCTACTTCTGAACCCACTGGCCGCTGGGCGACTGGTACCAGGTGCCCGGCGGCGAGGATTGGATGATCTGCCTGGCATAGATCTGGCCGATCGCGCTGACGTCGACCCCCTCCTGCGCCGCGCGCTCCTGGTAGACCCGGCGCCGCTCGGCGTTGATCTGCTCGACCCGTGCGGTCACCGAGGCGTCGCGCGCCACCAGGTAGCCCTGCAGGTTCTCGCCCGCCAGGCCGCGGCGCTTCAGCTCGTCGGCGCTCTGGGCGCGGGCCGGCGGCGCGGCGGCGCCCAGCAGCAGGGCGCCGGCCGCCAGCGCGCCGCCGGTCTGGAGAAGAAGGGTGCGTCGTGTGATCCGCATGGCTGTCAGCTTCGCTCTCGGGCCGGCCCTGTCAAGGGCAGGTTAGAAGATGTCCGGGTTCTGCTTGATGTCCTCTTCGGCCTGGCGTTCGAGGCGCAGGCGCACATCGGCATCGAGCTTGATGTTGAGATTGATGGTGATCGGCTCCTTCGGCGCCTCCACCGCGACGCGCGGCTGACAGGCGGCCAGCAGGGCGGCGCCGGCGAGCAGCAGCACGGCAACGGTCGATCCGACGGGTATCGTCAAAGCCTGCACAAGACCTCTCCCTTCTGCGGCGGCGCATGCTGGCCTCTGGGCGCCGGCCTGTCCAGAACCTCCTCTGGCGATGGTACGCAGGTCAGCGCTGCAGCCTCCACAGGCGCTCGACCGCGCCCTCGGTCAGCTCGAGGGCCTGCGAGAGGGCCAGCAGCAGCGGCGCCAGATCGGTCTCCAGGCGCACGTTGACGTCGAAGGGCTGACCGTCGAGGACCTCCGGGTTCTGGCCGAGCAGGCGCAGCGTGACCAGGGTGGTGCCCGCCGCCGGCTTCTCCAGGGTCAGCGCCAGCTCCTCGTATTGGAAGTTCTCCAGCGCCTGCATCAGCAGCTCGACGCTCTGGCCGCCACCGGCCAGCGCCCGCCTGGCGGCCTCCGAGGTCAGCCGCAGCACCCCGGGCGCCTCGGCCGCGAGGGCGCCGCCCGGGATCGTCACGGTGTCGCCTGCGACCCGGATCGGGACCGTGCCGCTGAGGCGGCCGGTGGCTGCGACGTCCGGCGTGTCGAGCAGGGCGAGCAGCGCGGCGACGTCGATGCCGTCGAGCACCAGGGTCGCCTCCTGGCGGTTGGCGGCGGGGTCGATCCGGCCGTCGCGCAGCCGCAGGCTGCCGCCCAGCGCCTGGGCGGCAGCCGCGATCACGCGCAGCTCCGGCGCGCCGCCGTCCGGCGTCGGCGCCACGGCGAGCTCGGCCGAGAGGTCGGTCATCGTCACCCCGGCCTCCAGGCGCGCGGCCGTCAGGCGCTGCGGCGCGGCGGTGCGCAGCGGCATCAGGCTGTCGAGCTCCAGGCGCCCGGACAGGCCGGCGACCCGCAGCCCCTCGCCGTAGCCGAAGTCCAGGTCGTCGAGCGTCACCTCGGCCCGCGCCTGCGGGCCGCTCGCGGCCCAGCGCAGCCCCAGTGTGGCGGAGAGCGCGCCGCTGACCTGCGTCAGCTCGGCCAGCACCGGCGTCAGGTCGCCCGGCTGCACGCCGCCCGGCGCGAAGGCGATCGGCGCCAGGGTCAGGCGGGCGCGCAGGCTGGGCGCCACCGGGTCGAGCGTGGCGCGGGCGGCGGCGGTGACCTGCTCGCCCAGGGCGGTGCCGGTCGCGGCGATCTCGTAGCCGCCGTTCGCCGGCTCCAGGGTGCCGGCAAAGTCGATCGGCGGCAGCAGCGGCACCGCCGCGGCATGGGTCAGCCGGCCGGCGAGGTCGAGCGCCCGCTCGGGCTGCGGCGGCAGCGGCCCGGCCAGCCGCAGTCCCTCCAGGTGCAGCGGCGGGTCCTGCAGGGTCAGGGCCGCCTGCGCGATGGCAAAGCTGCCATCGTAGCCGTTCGGGCCCAGCCGCCCCTCGGCCTGCCAGCGGCCGGCCTCGACCCCGGCTTCCAGCAGGGTGGTGTCGTTCTGCGCGATGCGCAGCTCCAGCGGCGCCCAGCGCCCGGCGAGGCGGTGGGACAGGGCGCCGTCGGGCCGCCAGGTCGCGGCGTTCTCCTCCAGGCTGGCGCGCAGCCGGGCGACCCGGCGCGGTCCGACCCGCAGGCCCTCGGCCGTGAGGCTGCCCGGCGCGGCGAGCGTCACGCCGGCGCGGCTGGCCGCGACCTGTGCGTCCAGGCCGGCGGCCAGCCGCGCCAGGCGCAGGCCGTCGGCGACGAGCTCCGTGGCCGTCAGCGAGAGCGGCCCGGTGAGCGTGAGCCGGCCCCCTTTCGGATCGCCCCCTGGATCGCGACCCGGCGCGCCGGGTAGCTCCGCCCGCAGCTCGCCGGGCCAGTGGGCGGTGATCCGCTCCGCCGCCGGGCCGTCGGGCAGCGCGGCCACCCCCTCGGCGGAGAGGTCGAAGGCGCCGTTCAGGGCGTCGGGGGGGCCGGACAGACGGCCCGACAGGGCGGCGCTGGTCAGCCTCTGGCCGGCGATCCGCCAGTCGGAGAGGGAGAGGTTGAATTCAGAAAGATCAATGTTTTGCAGAGAAAAGCTGTCATCGAACAGGAGCTCGCCGCGCAGGCCGGCGGCGGCCGCGCCCGGACCGGCGGCGAGCCCCAGGCGCAGGGCCGGGGCCAGCGCGACG